ATCTATCACTGGACACTTGGGTTGCTTCCATATTATGGCTATTATAAATAATGCTGCAATAATCACAGAGATGCATGTTATCTTTTCAACTTAGTGGTTTTGTTTTCTTTGGGTAAATACCCAGTATGGAATTACTGGATCACAGGTTAATTTTATTTTTAATTTTTTGAGGAAAAATCCATACTGTTTTCTACAAAGGCACCAATGTGGATTCCCAACAACAGTGCCCAATGATTCCCTTTGTTCCGTATCCTCACCAACACTTGTTATTTCTTGCTTTTTTGATACTAGCTTTTCTAACAAGTATGAAGTGATATGTCATTGTGGCTTTGATCTGCATTTCCCTGATGATTATTGATCTCTTCATGTGTCTGCTGGCTACCTGTATGTTTTCTTTGGAAAAATGTTTATTCAGTCCTTCTGCCCATTTTTTAAATCAGACCGTTTTCTTACTATTCAGTTTTCTGAGTTTTATTTTTTGAATATCAGACATGTGATTGGCAAATATTTTCTCCTATTTGATAGGCTGCCTTTTCATTTTGTTGCTAATTCCTTTTGCTGTGCAGAAGGTTTTTAGTTTAAGGTAGTCTCATTTGTTGATTTTGGCGTTAGTTGTGTTTTGCTTTTGGTGTCAGATCCAAAAAGTCATCAACAAAACTGATGTCAGGTTGCTTACCACCTATGTTTTCTTCTAGGAGTTCTATGGTTTCAGGTCTTAGATTTAAGTCTTTAATCCATTTTGAATTGATTTTTGTATATGGGGAAAGGTAGTGGTCCCACTTCATTCATTTGCATGTGGCTATCCAGTTTTCCCAACACCACTTATTAAAGAGACTACACTTTCCCCACTGTATATTCTTGGCTCCCTGGTCATAAAATACCTGTCTATGCATGGGTTTATTTCTGGGCTCTCTATTCTGTTCTATTGATTTATGTGTCTTTTTTTTATGCCATTACCACAGTTTACTATAGTATCATAATATAGTTTGAAATCAGGAAGCATGATGCTTCCAGCTTTATTGTTCTTTCTCAAGATTAAGTTGGCTTGTCAGGGTCTTTGGTGGTTCCACACAAATTTTAGGATTGTTCTGTTTCCATGATAAAGCCATTTGAATTTTGACAGGGATTGCATGGACTCTATAGATTGCTTTGGGAAGTAGGGAAATTTTAACAGTGTTCAAGTCCGTAAGCATGAAACACTCTCTTATCTTTTTGTGTTTTCTTCCGTTTCTGTCAGCACTGTCTTGTAGTTTTGAATGTGCAGGTCTTTTACCCCCTTGGTTACATCTTAGGTATGTTCTTTTTGATGCAGTTGTAAATGCGATTATTTTCTTACTCATTCTGATAGTTTATTTTAATATGTAGAAACACAGTGTATGTTTATATACCAATTTTGTGTCTTGCAACTTTACTGGATTTATTTATTCTAACAGTTTTTGGTGGAGTCTTCAGGGTTTATAATAATGTCATCTGCAACCAGTAAGAGTTTTACCTTCCTTTCCAATTTGGAGGCCTTTTGTGTTTTGCTTAATTGCTCCAGCTAGGACTTCCAGTAATATGTTGAATAAAAGAGTGGGTAAGAGTAGGTATCCTTGTCTTGTTTCTGATCTCTGAGAAAAAGCTTTCAGCCTCACTATTGAGTAGGATGTTAGGTGTGGGCTGATCAAATTTCATAACGCTTACAGTAATATTTAGACTGGAACTTGATTGTTGGGGGTCAGTGGCCATGAACATATTGGTAGGGGACGAAGCCATACAAGGTGATAACTGAAATAAAAATTTAAAGATCAACAGAATATCTAAGTAATATTAGTAATGTTTTAGAACACTTATGAAAAATCAGAATATATAATTTTTATTTTTAAAAGTGTTTTTGAAGTAAATTCAGATATATAGGGAAGTAAAAAGTATGACCTCAGATATCCATCACCCACTTTCAATATTCATGGCCAGTCTTTTTTCATTTCAGCCCTCCCCATGCCCTCTGGATTATTTTGAAGCAAATTCTAAGCATCATATGATTTTACCTGTAAACATTTCAGTATGTATTCTTAAAGATGAGGGACTATTTAAACTACAATGCCATTATCATATATTAACAATACATCCCTAGTATCATTAGATGTTCAGCCATGTATCATTTCCCAATTGTGATAGATATTTTTATATATACATCATTTTATTCATTTATGTATTATAAATATAACTTAATAATTGCTTGAATCAGGATGCTAAGTCCATAGTAATTCATTTGTTCATAGGTCCATGAGTCTTTCCTGTCATTTTTTTTTTCGTTTTAGTGAGCTAGCTGTAAGTCGTGTTCCACCAAGTTCACCCTTTTTAGTTGTATATGCACAGTGTTGTGCAAACCATCACCAATATCTAATTCTGGAACAAACCCCATCCATTAGCAGTCCCTCCCCAGTCTCCTGTCCCAGGAACCCAGGATATTCACTGCTTGGCTTCATGTCTCCACAGATTTATCCATTCTGGATATTTCAACTAAATAGGGTCATACGTCATATGGCCTTTGAGTCTGGCTTCTTTCACTTAGCATAATGTGTTCAGGATACATCCATGTTGTAGCAAGTACCATGACTCCATTCTTTTTTGGCTATTATTCTACTATATGTACATACTAACACATGAACTATATTCATGACATGGTTGGGATTTGGGTTGTTTGCACTCTTCAACTGTTGTGATTATTGCTAGGAACATCCGTATATAAATTTTTTGTAAGAGCTTATGTCCTCACTTGTCGTCGATATATACCTAGGAGTGGGATAACTGGGTCACACAGCAATTCTGTTTAACTTTTTGAGGAGCCGCCAAACTGTTTTCCGCAGCAGATGTTCCATTTTGCATTCCTACCAGCAATGTATGAGGATTTCAATTCTTGCACATCCTCCCCAACAATTCTTTTCATTTTTGAAATTCTATCCATACTAGTGGGTGGGAAGTTGTAATTCATTGTGCTTTCAGTTTTTGTTTCCCTAACAACTAATATTTTTTAACATCTTTTCATGTCTTTATTGGATATTTGTGTATCTTTTTTATAGAAATGTCTATTCAAATGCTTAGCCCATTTTTAATTGGGTTGTCTTTTTTAATGTTGTTAGCCACTGTATAGTACATAATGAGTCCTTGAGACAGTGTTCAATGATTCATTAGTTAAGTATAACACCCAGTGCTCATCATAGCATGTGCCCTCCTCAATACCCATGGCCCTGTTACCCCTCCCCCCACTTTCCTCCCCTCTGAAACCCCCAGATTGTTTCTCAGGGTCCATAGTCTCTAACGGTTCATCTCCCTCTCTGATTTCTCCCCCTTTGGATTTCCCTCCCTTCCCCTATGGTCCTCGTGCTATTGCTTGTGTTCCACCTATGAATGAAACCATATAATTGTCTTTCTCTGTTTAACTTACTCCACTTAACATAATCCCCTCCAGTTCTATCCATGTTGATGCAGGTAGTGGGTATTCATCCTTTCTAATGGCTGAGGAATATTCCATGGTGTATATGGACCACATCTTCTTTATCCATTCATCTGCTGAAGGGCATCTCGGCTCCTTCCACAGTTTGGCTATTGTGGTCCGTGAGTTTCTTAATCTGTACTTTTCCATATGTCTTTTTCTCCCTCCTTATAATTTCTTGCTTGAAGAGATGGGGTCCCTTATCCATCTGAAGTTTTCTAACTGCATTATATGGGTGTAGTTTATGTAATTGTCTATTCTTTGTGTTTCTTGTTAACTGGTAGATCCAGAAGCTTAATCAGATTGCTTTTGGTCTTCCTTTCTGCAAGACTGTCATGAATGGCTTATAATCAAATATTATTTTAAAGCTAGTACTGTAAATGGCTTCAGCCCAGATTGTAAATACATCCAGGGAACTAAAAGGATTCTAGTCATAACATACTGTGAGGAAGAGGAGTAGTGACTTGTCTTTTCTGCAGTAATATACTAGTGGAAATTATCTCCAGCACTCTTCTGCATGGATCTAAATGGCTAAGAGGAATTGGAAGGTATTCTGTAGGTCCAGCAGTCTCATAGAGTCTGCCTTTCATGATGGTAGAGGACACTACAAGCTACATGTTAGGCCTTTATAGATCTGTGCTGCCTAGTACAGTAGCCTCCGGCTATTTAGTTTTTATTTAAGTTTAAAAATTGAGCTTCTCATTCGCTCTAACTACAGTTCAAGTGCTCAGCAGCCACCTGTGCCAAGCAGCTATCATACTGGATGGCACTGACATAGACTATTTCCACCATCATAGAACATTCTGTTGGACAGTCCTGTTTTGTATTCTGGAGGGATCGTGGAGTGGATGGACTGAACTTTTCTTGGTATTCAAGCATTTTTTTAGTTAATAAGTTTTTCTATGAATCTTAGAGTTTGGATTGCTGTAGTGCTGCCTCTAATGGATAACTCCCCTTTTAAAATACGAATACTGCAGGACCACTCATCTGTTGGCAGAAACTGAGGAGAAGTGTGCTTTTGGACAAGTTTGTTACAGATACGATTAATGTCTCTCCTATTTTATGTTGGATTTCAGCTTGTTAATAAACACATCTAGAATATCATATAGAGAAAGTAGACCAATAGGTGACAGTATAAACACAGATCAAGCTGATGCAGTGAAAAGAAATGTGGTGAGAGTTGCTATGGTAACGTGGTCAGAAACAGACAAGTTAAAGATATTCTTAAGTTTCAATTTTACATCTTTATGAAATGATTTCACAGAGTGAAGTTTTATAGCACAAAGAGTGTTCTACTGGAAGCAAATTTTACAGCTGGTTGAGAGAAGAATTCCCTCAATACTAAAGGTTCTGTGGAGAGACAGCTCTTTCCAAAGGATACCCTTTATCACCTCGATTGCCTGTAAACATTAACCTGTTGGCTGCCCTACTTCCCTTCCTGTTGAAGAAACAGTGTACCATTTTTATTTCAATTTGGTTTAAAAATACTTTCAGTAATTGAACTCTGCTTATTAACCTTCTACAGCGGAAGTTCAGAGTGAAATCGAAAGGATTTTTGAACTTGCAAGAACACTGCAACTGGTAGTCCTTGATGCAGATACCATTAATCATCCAGCTCAACTCAGTAAAACTTCTTTGGCCCCTATTATAGTCTACGTAAAGATTTCTTCTCCTAAGGTAAGCGGGCTTGTTCTTATTTGCTCTCTAATCAAACTTCATTACAGTTGTTTATGTTCTGCTTTACAATTGTGGTAAGTTATATCTCTACCCATCATAAAGAGTTTGAAGAGACAGGGTAGTCAAGAGTTTTTAAGATTCATGTAAGCAAAGCATGGTTATTAGTTTCATGGCTTAGAACACCGATTCCCACAATGTGGTCCATGGTGTCCTGGAGGAAGGTTCTGAGAAACTTCTAGAGAGACCATGAGGTCGAAATTATTTCCATAATACTAAGACATTGTTCTCCTTTTTCACTGTTTTGACATTTGCACTGAGGGTGCAAAAGCAATGGGGGGTAAAACTGCTAGTGTCCGTGAATGGGGACTGGTAACAGACGGTGTTCACGGTCCAAAAAAACCTACCACCACCCAGTTTCAGTTAAGTATGTCTTGACAAAGTAGTAACATTTACTAATGTTACTAACTTTTGACTCTTAAATACACGGCTTTTCAATATTCTGTGTAATGAAACTTGACTAGCTGAAACACTTTATCAGTCATCTTGAGGACACATAGTGACTAATAAAGTTATAAACTCAAGCTGCCTCTTTTTTCACAGAACACCATTTTTATTTGAATGAACAACTGACATACTATGTTTATAAGACTTGTTTTTTTGGCAGATATTTTCCCATTTGTCACCAGTGATAAAACTGGAGCTTTCAAACAAAAATTGAAATTTCAGAAAATTTGTATCTGAGCTTAGCAGCTTTTCAAAAGATGGCCTTTTCTGATGTGATCAGTGGTAACAGCAAATATGTTTTGATATTGTTTAAGAAGTGTGTCAGCATTTGGAAGATCTGAAGAATCTGAACCATTATTTTCCAAATGATCAATGCAATGATGTTACAAATCATGCACAGTAAAAGATCCATTCACATTTCAAGATAAACCAATTTAATGTAATTTAACAGTAAGAAAAGTTCACTGACACAGTTTAAGCTTTCACATGCAACTAGTCTTAAGAAACTACCACTTGTTGGGGCGCCTGGGTGGCTCAGTGGGTTAAGCCTCTGCCTTCGGCTCGGGTCATGGTCTCAGGGTCCCGGGATCGAGCCCCACATCGGGCTCTCTGCACAGCGGGGAGCTTGCTTCCCCCTCTCTCTCTGCCTGCCTCTCTGCCTACTTGTGATCTCTGTCTGTCAAATAAATAAATCTTAAAAAAAAACAAAAGAAAGAAACTACCACTTGTTGAGTTTAGTGTAACATCAAAGAACACTGTCACAATTCCTGAAAAGGCTACTAAAATACTCTTCCTTTTCTGAATTACCTATCTGTAGAGGGATGGATTTCTTCACATTATTTCAACCAAAACAAGACTCTGTAGCAGGTTAAGAAGCAATTAGAGAAATTGACAAAAAATGTAGTTTTTTTATTTTTTAAATTTGTTAAAATGTGACCAGCTTATCATTCATTTTTAAATGAATATTTAACAATGTGTTCAGTTGTAGTTTCTACTGTGGTAAACATTATACTTCACATAAAAACTCTTGGGGTTCTCAATTTTTTTTTAAACATAAAGGAGTCATAAGATTGGTAACTGCAAGCTTTGAAAAAGAGAGTAAGCTCCATGCTAGTTATCGTTTTAAAGTCTGCAACTGAGATTTCTGTTAACATGTTAATTTTTCAGCTAACTTACATGTTTTATGGCTCAATCTATTATAAACCATTTGTGCTATACATAAAAAGGCCTTAGAGTGAGTAACAAACCTTATTCTTTACCTGAATGCAGATATTCTTCTGTTAAATCTTATCTTTCACAGGTTTTACAAAGGTTAATAAAATCTCGAGGGAAATCTCAAGCTAAACACCTCAATGTCCAGATGGTCGCAGCTGATAAACTGGCTCAGTGTCCTCCAGTAAGTCATCTCCATACACGGTAAAATCCACCTGAAGACATTAGCCCTGGTCTTATATTTAGAAAGCAACCGTCCAATAACCAGACAGGAAAACAGGTGTCGAGGGAGAGAATTCTCCCCACTTAGCCATGGTCTTCAGTCCCAAGAAGTGAACTGTCCTACCATCTCCCATGAGCACTTGTCTAGATTATGGCTTAGAAAAAACTCCAGTGCATTTGGTGGTGACCTTGCTTTGTTAATACCTAATTCGTATCTTAAATGAAATGAGATTATGGTTTCAAAATTTGGTTTATAAAGTGGATCTGTTTGGGCTTTGTTATTCGCTTCTAATAACTCTTAATAGCTTTCTTAATAATTGAGAAATTGATTTGAGACCATGTTAAAAATTTTCTTTTTTCTAAACAGTTATGTAGCTTCTGATACCTGAACAAATTCCCCTCCTGATCCCTGCTTTTTACATATCATGGTTTGAGACTAACGAACACCTCTAGGTTTTCATTTTGATATGCAGTATAGCAGAAGCTATAAGAATTATATTGTTTATCGCTGGGCATATTTTGAAGTTTGGGCCCTGTCAAATCATCAGTGATTTCAGCTTTTGTCTGCCAAATTTCCTGTCCTAATCTTGCCTTAGCAATTTCCACGATTAAGTTTTTCATAGTCTCTATGTCAAAACCAGGCCTCTTCCTGTGCTGTCCAGATTATATTTTTATTTCTCTACCTCTTTACTATCCTGTCTAAACAACTGTCATTACACTGAGAATTGCTACAGGTTAAACACCTAGAGTTGTGAGCACTGATCTAAGGCAGACAGACACAGTCTGACTCAACAGGACATTTAGACAATTTGAAAAGGAGCGAGCAGGAGCACACGTGCACATACAAAGGGGTGCGGCCTCTTCATTTGGATAGCGCCGGGCTGGGGCGAGTGGGTCATCGGCAATGTCTGCCTCTGCAGGAGCTGTTTGATGTGATCCTGGACGAGAACCAGCTCGAGGATGCTTGTGAGCACCTTGCCGACTATCTGGAGGCCTACTGGAAGGCCACCCACCCTCCCAGCAGCCATCTCCCCAACCCGCTCCTTAGTCGTACTTTAGCCACTTCAGCTCTGCCCAGTAGCCCCACTCAAGCCTCTAATTCACAGGTAAGAGGGCTCTTTCTTAAGCCCTAGAAACTAGGCTGCCTTGGGTCATCTGGCGGGGATCCAAGCCCACTTACCCAGCACAGCGCCTGTTCCAGCGGGAGCAGCTCTGAACGGAGACACGTGTTGAGTCATCTACCGTCTTCAGGGCGAGTTGTGTACCTGTAAGAAAAACTCTGTCAACACTATACCACAAACATACAGAAACAACTCAGCCCCATGTCCTGTAAGACAAGGAGAGCATTCTTCTACACTGTCAGCAGCACAGCCATGGAATCAGACTGCCTGGGCTCGAATTCCTGCTCCAACTCTTACTGGGTGTGTAAGGTTGGAGAAGTTGCTTACCTGCCCCTTGCCTCAGAAAGACTAATGGTAACTGGTCCTGCAGGGCTGCTGCCACATTACTGAATTAATACCGAAGGCTGGCTTAGGATAGTACTTGCCTCATACTAAATGGTATGTGAGTATCCCCAACATCTTAAGCATTTTTAATCTTCCCACAGGTCTTCAAGTAGAGGTAGTGAAATGTACACTTGTGTGTAAAGAAATTTTAGGTACCTGTATCTGATTTGAATGTCAGGAGAACATATAAAAGGATGCTGTCCCCCCTTCACTTATTCATTAAGGAAAAGAAAGTCTGATATAACGTAGTACAAGCCTTGTAAATGCCACCGGATGTTATCAAAAGAATTAAGTAACTGAGCAAGGTTAGATTTCATTTTAGAAAGTCCCCAGGGAATAAACCCTTGAAAGGACAGCCTTGCTCTCGGGACATGTTAGTTCTTTACACGGTGACCCTGGCTGACGCCTGTGTTGGCTCCCTTACCCACCAGGGTTCTCAAGGGGATCAGAGGACTGAGCGCTCCGCTCCCGCCCGCTCTGCCTCCCAAGCTGAAGAAGAACCCTGCCCGGAACCCGTCAAGAAACCCCAGCACCGTTCCTCCTCCTCCGCCCAGCATCACAGCCATCGCAGCGGGACGAGCCGAGGCCTCTCCAGGCAGGAGACATTTGACTCAGAAACCCAGGAGAGTAGAGACTCTGCCTATGTGGAGCCGAAGGAAGATTACTCCCACGAACACGTGGACCACTATGCCCCCCACCGTGACCATAACCACCGAGATGAGCCCCACGGGAGCAGTGAGCACAGACACAGGGAGTCTCGGCACCGTTCCAGGGACCTGGATCGAGAGCAGGACCACAATGAGTGCAACAAACAACGGAGCCGGCATAAATCCAAGGATCGCTATTGTGACAAGGACGGAGAGGGCCTCTCCAAAAAACGGAGCGAGGCTGGGGAGTGGAACAGGGATGTTTACATCCGCCAGTGACTTTGGCCCTTCTACGTTTCTTTTTTTTAAGTCTTGTATACCCCCACCCTCAGACTCAATCTTTGGGGTCTACATTGCAGTCATATGTGATCTGTCCTGTATACTTTGTATTGCTGTTGCTCGAATAGCAATAGCATGATAGAGAGTATTAATATACCTTTTTTTTTCTTTTGTAAGTGCTATATAAATCTGCCTGGTATGGCTGCAGTCCTCCGGTTGCATACTGGACTTCTCAAAAACTGTTTGGGATCGCTGCCACTTGAACAAAATCTGTTGCCATCCAGGTGGCATTAGTATTTTAAGAAACATAGTTGATGTTTTCAAAAATGTAGTTAATGTATCCAGCAAGCCAGAATTGGCCCAGGTGAAAAGTGGAATTTCTTGATTCTCCAGATTTTTAATATGTAGGCACCTGATTTGCATATTCATTTAACCATGGACCACTGTTTCTTGCTTGTACCTCTGGCTGACTAAATTTGGGGACAGATTCAGTCTTGCCTTACACAAAGGGGATCATAAAGTTAGAATCTATTTTCTATGTACTAGTACTGTGTACTGTATAGTTTGTAAATGTTATTTCTGCAAACACCTTCTTATAATTATATATAATATATATATATATAATATATATATATATATCTCAGTTTGATCACACTATTTTAGAGTCTTAATGCCAAGTCAGCAGATTTGCTTTATGAATTACAGGGACTAGAAATGCCCACCTTCAGGAAATTTGTAATATCGTCTAGACACCTATCCCCATTCTAATAGAAAGTCTGTACATACTGTAAATACGTGTGATTGCCTGACTTGAAGAGGTTTGATTTCTGAATGTTTTACCATCCTTGTAAGTTTATAATTTTGACCATAAATTATGGTAAATATAACCAAACTCCAAAGGCTGTCCTAATCCATGCAGTTCACACTGATTGTGACAAACACATTCTTAGTAGCTAGTGTCTTATGTCACTGCACTGGAGTATACGAGCCGGACCTCCGTATGCAAGCGTGTCTGTGTGTACGAGTGTGTAAAAGCGTGCACGAGTGACTGCGATGGAACTGAGTGCTCAAGACTCGAGACCGAAACCTAGAATTCTACTCACCTGGCTTTGTATTTAATTGTGCTACTTGTTGCTTTGAGAATCCGTTGAGCAGTCAGGGAATGTGAGGAAGCTTGCTGCCAAAGGCGACTAGGAAGGCATTCGTCTGCTGGCTCCTTGTTTTTGCTCCTAGAGAGTAAAAACACAGGCAACTTTTAACTGTGAGTGTTTCACTGGAAATGTACAATCTTTGTGTGTTTGAGTATTTGTTTTAGTAAGAAATGTTTACACAGCTTGTAGAATTATTTCGTGGGAAAATAAATTTTTCTAACTTCTCCCACCTCCTTTCTAACCTTGCCTATGGTTCCTGTTGTTTATGTCCCTTCAGTTTCCCCCTTCATTCCATTCCCTGCCACCAACTCCCAACAGTTTTGCTGTCCGTCAAAACCTAGAAGTGCTTCTTATAACCAAAGTTTCTGCTCTTCAGAAGTAATCAGGGCAAGATGAGGTGACTTGAAGTGAACAAAATGTTAAGACTATCTTCCTCCATTAGACATCCGCTCTGAAAGGGAACCCAAAAGATACTATTCTCCATGCCTCAGTGATAGCACTGTAAGCAGCTCACGGGGTGGTTGTCACGCTAAGGCTAAAATAACCTTCTCCATATCGCTTATATGTACTTTTTGTCCAGTTACAACTGGACAGGTAAGACAGTATTAGGTGTGCAAGTACCCAGCACCTGAAGTTTGTCCCTGGAAAATTCCGAGCTATAATATAATGGCCTAACTTCAGATATGTACATTATGAAATTGTTATTTTGTTAAAGAAGTTAATCTATTTTTGTTTTGCATGGATTATTCCAGGTTCTTGCCAAATATTCTGGGACCTAAGTAAAACTGTTTCACATTTAACTCCTTATTTCCCTTCCTCTGCAAGAAAACTCAGTTTTAAAAATGAGTTACATTTGAAGGGTTTTATCAGCTAATATAAGGAACATTTTCCTCAGAATTCATCTTTTTGTTAATTAGCTCTGTACTGTTGACTATTTATTGAATATAAAAGCAGTAGTCATAATATATGCATTTTTGATGTAAAATATTCATATCATTGGGGAACCATATTCCAGTTAAAGTTACTTGTATAAAATATTTCTAAAACTTTCATCCCAATTAATGACTTTGGGATATCTAAAACTCTTGAAGTATAACTGGTATTTATCTTTCTTGCTGCTACCACGAATCCCTTTCAAAGAGTCCTGCTAACAGATTCCAGTTCTTTTCACTTTTGGATTCTTTTCACTTGACTGTGAAACATACTAGTCCAAATCAGAGTAGTCCTCAAAAAACGATATTGCAGGATTTGACAGTGAGCATCTATACGTGAAAACTGTATAGCAGGTATATGTGTGAACAGTGTGTATTGAATCTGTAAATGAAGAAATAATCCCAAGGGCAATGGGAGATTTTACTGACTTGTGGAATGTAAACTTAGTCTTTTCACTCAGCAAAGGCTTAACCTTAACCTACTCAGTTGTAGAATCATGATCTTTGTAGTCAACCTAGAAAATGCTGGAAATGGAAATGTTCTTAATAGTTCTGTTTTATTGTCAAACCCATTTCAGTTTTTCCTATGCTCTTTCTCTACTGCTCATTTAAGTTACTGTTACAAAAAGGTGCTGCTAAATGTAGGATGTCTTAGTTGTATTGTACTTTGGGACAACGCCACATTTTTAACATGGTCTGCTATGCATTCCTGTTAAACATTCACTGTCAGCTACACTGAACTGTTCAACAAATCTGGTTTAAAGTCATTCATATAAAACAAATAAAGAGCTGGCTTTCTGCACTGTTTATTAGTAGTAGTATTAATTGCCATTTTAGGAATGATTCTTTTTTTTTTTTTTTGAAGATTTTATTTATTTATTGACAGACAGAGATCACAAGTAGGCAGAGAGGCAGGCAGCGAGAGAGGAAGGGAAGCAGGCTCCCTGCTAAGCAGTGAGCCAGACGCGGGGCTTGATCCCAGGACCCTGGGATCATGACCTGAGCCGAAGGCAGAGGCTTTAACCCACTGAGCCACCCAGGCGCCCCAGGAATGATTCTTATAGTTGAGAATGTGTCAGATTTTCAACAACACTTCCCACGGTGGGAGCATCTTTTTTTAAGGGCAGTGCTGATCCCTGAATTTACTTTAGCGATGTTCCCTTTATGTCACATAAAATACTAGTTTATGGCAGGTAATAAAGATCTTTTAAAATGGGAGCAGAGTAGTCTTTCTCCCACCTTAATTCTCCATGTGTGGCAATTCAGTTTTTTTTTTTATTCTTCATTTTTAAAATAAAAATTTCATTTTAAAATGAAAATTTAAATGCTCACCCCTACCCCACCCCCCACTTTGCTCTATGATACCAGGCTGCTAGTCTTGAAAACTCTCATCTTAGTAGTGGTATGTCAAGAGTCACACAGTCAAGGAAAACAGGTAACTAGATGATTCTAGACCAGTTATTTAATTCTGGCTATATTATATTTGTACTTCACCTTACTATTTAAAGTAAAATGTGGCACAGGGTTTTGAAGTAAAACGTACTCACTGTTAAGTTGCTTTTTTTTGTTTCACAGAAATATCTATGTTAATCTTAAATACGTTAAGAGAGAATATATTCTTTTCTTCCACATTTGCCAGATTTTTTTCCCTTTTCATTCTACTTAGTCTTAACTTTGTGTCCCTTAAGACTGAATGTGTTTTATTTTCCAATTTTCCCTATTTTTTTGAAGGAACGAAACCCACTGAAAAGGTCTTTGTCAAAGCCAACATTTTTAACAATATTCCTTGTCTTCCTGTTTTAATATGCAAATACTGTTCTTTTGTTTTGCCTGCATTGCTTGTATTTTGCTATTTGTCGGTATTAATCAACAGTTTACATGTCTACTGCTGGTCTCCCTGTCTACGGTTTTCATCCCAGCTGAGCACATAAGGCCTAGCAGAGAGCATGAGAAGACATGGATTTTTTTTTTTTTAAACATATTAAAGTTTGGAGAAATGTGTGGAGCCCTAGAAACGGGATTACAGGTAAATGGTGCTTCTCTTTAGTCCAATGACATCTACTGGAAAAAAGGCAGAATAAGGGATATAAAGAAGTCAGGCACATAACTGAATCTTATGGAACCTGAAATAGCTTGTCCCTCATTCAATAAGCATGTATTGATCTATTCTAAAGCAGGAACAGAAAAGACATGGTTCCCGCCTTCAAGACTTTCCCCCAAACCTGGTGGGGGTGGGTAAGGAGGATGCCTATTAAAAGAAGAGTGAGTGTGTTAATGATAAGGGCAGTTGAAAAGATAGAAATGCCCAAGCCAACCTAAGTGGAGGATGTTCAAGAAAAGCTTCAGAGAAGAGGCTTGCTAACGGTCTTACCTGATCAAAGAGACTTTGCCATCTTGATGGACACAACAGTCAGGAGAAATTCCTAACAGAAACCTAGGAGGGGGGGAAAAAAAGGAACTATTAGGCAATTGTTCCCACCTATCCACCTTATGCACTCGAGGCTGAGAAACTCTGGGGTAATCCGAATGGAAGTTAAAACATTTAGATGTATTTAATACTGTAAAAGACAGCCTTTAAACTGGGCTGGGTATTTGGCATTTTAATGTATCTTATCTGAAAAGCAGGAGGATGAAGCAAGCCTAAGGTTATAGTTACATTTTAATAAAAGCAGTCACATACGGGCTGCTCACAGGGGGATGTTTGGTTACTTTTGCAGTTGAGGGGATGTTCATGTTTTTGTTGGATTCTAGATTTGCTTATAAAGTGGTCTTTTTGGTCTTGATCTACTATATTCCTACTTGGCTTTGTCGGATGTTGACGTTTGGTGAATGCATGTTCAAGAGGACACCCCCAAGGTAGGGTGAAAGCGCCACGCCAGTTTCTAGCTACCAGAAGCTGCTCTTTTCTGTCTCCCCAGTCATATCCCATTAACTTGTATAACAGGTGTTCCAATGGATGATGAAAATACCCAAATTGTGGAATATTCTCATAATTTTAATATACAGAGTGAAGAAAATATTTGTTGTAGGTTTCAGTTTAAAAGCATTAAAAAAAAAAAGAAAGAAAGAAACGTGGTAAAGGCACACTACCATTTAGGAGGTCTAGACTCCATTTGAAAGAGTTGATTTAGGAGCACCAGGTGGCTTAGTTGGTTAAGCGTCCCACTCTTGGTTTCAGTCAGGCTTTGTGCTCAGCACGGAGTCTTCTTGAGATTCCCTCTCCCTCTGCCCCTCCTGCTCACGGCTGCTCTCTCTCTCTTTCTCAAATATGTAAATCTTAAAAAAAAAAAAGTTGACTTATCACGTAGTAAACAGAAAAATTCCGATAAAATGCTCAGTTCAGTTATGGGCATATGGAAAACATTATAGTTCCCATACCCTGAATTTTTAGGAACTACTTTAGGAACTCAAGAACAAAGAAAAATTTCTACCAAATTAAATACTGCTCATTTTATTCCTTTTGTTAGAATCACAAACTTTAACATTAAAAATGATGTGCATTCTTTACACATTAAAACACAAAGCCCCAAATGAAAATACGCTCTACGCTCCTAATATCTGTAGGCATCTCCTTTTTTTATACTGTGCTAATCCTTAAGAAAAAAATTATTTACAAAATACAAAATATAACCATATACCACCCCCAACTACTTCGTCCATGAAGTAGAGTCTCCTGATCAAATCTCTTGGTCCCTGGTGCAACAGCTGGCAGCCTTTTCTGTTTCCTTGGCAACTCTGCCTGACAACAGTTGGGGGGAAAAAAAAACCATATAGTGAACGTTTAGAATTTTCACTTCTAAGAGTTCTTCTATGTGCTTTTGCATTTTATGAATTTTGCAATAAAAAAACCTATGCAGTCCTTATTTGCCAGCCAAATCATGTCTTCTATCCTGGCATCTCTGAGAGCATCAATGTCAGTGTCCCGTAATGGCACAACAGATGGATCAAATCGCTGCAGCTGTTTCAATTGTTCCAATGATAGGCCAGCTCCCAGCATTCCTTCCCCTCCAATCTGTGGTTCCTGTTCGGAGAAAATGAGAGAACGTGACCATCCTATCATGGGTAAGTGTGCCCGCATACATTTAAGTTAAAAGACAACACTGGGGCGCCTGGGTGGCTTAGTAGGTCTAGTGTCGGCCTTCGGCTCAGGTTGTGATCCCAGGGTTCTGGGATCGGGTCCCACACTTCGTGGGGAGTCTGCTTCTCCCTCTGCTGTGTACTCCCTTTCTCTTCCTCCCAAATAAATGAATACAATCTTTAAAACAATATAAATAAATAAATAAATAAATAAATAAATAAAAGACAAAGCTGAGGTATAAGTACCACCAATTCCAAAAAGAGACAAATGTTGTCTTTGTGGAATGGACATGCGGTTTTTCTGGATAGTAACACATGGTCTCCTCATGACTGAGTTTCTATTATGACCCCAGATACTCATCAAGAACTGTGGCTTTGCCACATTTTCCCTGTGTGATCTTAAGCAAGTAACTTCACATAACTCTTGTTTCCTCATCTGTATAACAGATAAAATACTCAGTTCTCAGATTTTATTTAATAAGGTGGAGTCCACCTGGCATGTAGTGGTCACTCCGTAAGTGGATCATTATTATCAAGAACAGCAATAAAAGAAAACTCAGCTTTATTATCACACTCCCCAAAGCTGACAGGAGTTCCACATGCACCTAAAGGTGACTTTCTCTGACCCAAACTAATTGGATGATTAAAGATTTCTATTGCTTTTGAATGTACTAGAATATTAGGAGATAAATTAAGGCTGTGTCAATTAGTTTAGAACCTAGAATCATGAGGATCTGAGTGAGATGTGGGAATCTCGACTGCACAAGATCCGTAATCCTAAATCAAGTCAACACTGTGTAAATGTTTATGTTTAATACTTAAGTATTATTAAAAAACCTACTGTTTATTAATCCATGGGGAAATTTTCCATCTCTTTTAGGTATATATCAAGTGTATATGCATACGGACACACACACATAAAATTCAAGTGAATTCTGAAGTCTTCCTTTCCTCTACAATGCAATTACCTTCTTTTCCGAGTGTAGAAACCATCTCTGGATTACTTTTTATTCATATATTCCAATTACCTAACTAGAGTTCTGTACAGAAGGGTACTGAAGTTAGATGTTCAGTGTATCCAACTGAATGTGAGCATTATTACAGATTTAAACTTCCTCTCAGACATCATGGGTTAAAAATATAGTCATACTATACTTTTGACAAAAACCAAGACCAGTAAAATAAAGTATAAGAAAGCTTTTTAAATGTTACATATTTTATGTCAGAAACCATAAAGAAGCAATATTCTTTGTTGTTGATGTGACTTGAGCAAAAATGTTGAACATACTCCATCCCAGCAAATCTAGGAGTAGGAGGGGAAAAGAAGAAACAACTTTTTAGAAAAAAAGGTTCTGAGTAACGTAAGCAAGAGCCATAGGTGAAAGATGCACGTAACACGAGTACACCTGAGCTCTGTGGCATTTCAACACGACGGCAAGGAACGAGAACAGGGAAAAACTTGGTTAGGAGGTGGAAATTCTCTGTGGGCAGTCTACAATGGATCTCATTAGAGAAGCACTCTTGTTTTCTGCAGTATTTGTTTCAGAAGTTTGGCTTGACATAGTTCTTCCTGTAACAACCTTGTGTTTATCCCCACGCTCAAGTTTCCATAACTGGTCAGATTATACCGAGAACACTGACATCATTCTTACCTGGGGCTGAAGCTGAAGGTAAGGAAACGTCCGGAGGGCCCAGGCGACCTGTTCTTCGTTTTCGGCCAGCAAGATGGTGCATGTGCTATAGACTAGCACGCCCCCCGGCTTCAGCAGCTCAACGGCCTAAAGAAACACAATCAGACTCTGGACTGCAAGGCACGATCGACACTTTCTGGGATTTTAGATTGCTAGGATATCTTTCCAGGGTTTGGGATAAATGTTCCGTATGGCCAAGATTGGTTCTCTGTTCCAGACTAGATGCATTTCACTCTCTCAGAGCAGTTATAATCTGTTTAAACCAAGACTTTCCTGAATATAATCATTCCGTTTCACTGCTTTAGATACCACTTTTGGTGCCCAAAACTCACACATGTACCTTTTTAAACCATAGTCCTTTCTGAACTCTGTACTCGTGTACTCACTTCCTTCTTCATACATCTGCTATCAAATTCGACAGTGAACACCTATCTTCCCTCTGAGACCTATTAGAGATGTGCTACTTTCAGGCCCCAAATCTGGTATTATCTTTTATGCCTCTCTTTCCCTCACACTCCCCATCCATGAGCAAATTCTACTGGCTCTTCCTTTAAGATCTATCCAGAATTTGGCTATTTCCCCTACTATTATCCTAGTCTGAGCCCCACTGTCTTTGGCCTGGATTACTCAGCCTCCTTCTTAGTCCACCTGCTTCCCTGTCTGCCCTCCTATAACCTCTTCTCCATACAGCTGCCTGAGCACTGTTTTTAAAACTTCTCCACTCAAAACCCTACAAATGCCCTGACCTATGTCTGGGAGTCAATGCCCAAGTCCTTACAGTGGCTTTCCAAACCCTACGCAGAGCAGGCCTCTGGCTGCCCTTCTGACCTCCCCTCACACCTCTCGCTCACTTTGCTCTAGCAACACTGGCCTCTGCTGTTCCAAAACACACATGGCCCACTCCCACCCCAGGAGCAGTGCACAGGCTGGGAAACTTCTCATTGTCTGCAGTGCTCCTTCATAGTCTTATCTTTGTGTCTCTGCCACCTTTCCAGCACTGACCATCCCAGGTAACACTGCCACTGTTCAAATCCAGCACTCCTATCCTCCCTTCCTTAGTCTGCTCCGCGGGATTACTGCTCTGCTACTGTACTTCCTAACTTACTCATCTATTTGCTTCCTTTCCTCCCAATTAGAATAGACACTCCATGAATAAGGTAGGGATTGTTATTTTTTTCACTACTATATTGACAGCACCCAGAATAGCATAGATTACATTATCCTTAAGTGCTCAATGAAAAATGGTCCAGTAAATAAGTGAGTCAGGAAATAGGTATTATAAGAAAATGAATTTTTCCCAAATAATAGTTTATCTTTTCAGACTCCCAGATACTTAAAAACATTTCAAAGAAAAATCTTTAAAATATATACTATACATAGTATATTATTACATATATACATAATACATTATATATATATATACACACACATATATATACTATATGGTATATACAAGTATGTAATAAACTACATAACATAGTATATCATATATAGATGTAGGGTATCATATGCTACATATATTTTATTAAAAATAGCATATATTGTGCTTTCTTAACTAGAGTACACTGATCAAAATTGACACCATTACTGTACTCGTGCCAGTTATGGTTTTAAGCATTTTACATGGATTTTCTCAATTTACTTAAAACCATGAGGTATGGTTACCATCACCAATGAGGTGAACCTATTAGGTAGCGTATAGTCCCCACTTCTCATATGTGGTAACCAATGTACCTGAAGTCACTTAAGCGTAAGCAGCACAGCTCCAGACAAGCCGTGTCTGATTATAAGGTCCACATTCTCAATTAACACCTCTCAGTGCAGAATGGCAAACCTGCTACATCCTAAATTCTCCCTTGTATACAGTCAGCTCCTCCTCTTCCTTGTGATCACTGCAACTACTCCTAAGTAACTTTTAAAAATTTCCTTTCTGCTAGGACCTAAAAAAAACAAAAAGCCTACTCTTTTTAAAAATTTTTTAAAAAGATTTAATTTGTGAGAGAGAGAGCGTGCACGAGCACAAGCAGGGGGAGAAGCAGGCTCGCCACTGAGCAAGGAGCCCGATGCCGAACTCCATCCCAGGACCCTGAGATCATGACTTGAGCTGAAGGCAGACACTTAACTCACTGAGCCACCCAGGTGTCCCAAAAAGCATAGTCTTCTAAAATAGTGTCCTGGGTGCCTGGCTGGTGCAGTTGGTTAAGCGTCTGACTCTCAGTTTCAGCTCAGGTTGTGATCTCAGGGTTATGAGACTGAGCCCTGTGTCAGACTCTGCTATCTGGAGTCTGCTTGAGTTTCTTTCTCCTTCTGCCTCTACTCCTCCCCACAATCTCTGATCTCTCCATCTCTCTCTAAAAATAATAATAAATCTTTAATAATAAAGTGTCCTAATTTTAACCCTCAAGTCAAAGTGGGTTTCAGCTGTAAGTAAAGCTTCCACTTTTTGCTTCCAGGATGTGTTAAGACTGTACAGAGAAAAAGATAAATAATCTAGTACCAGCGCATCCATCGTGTTTAAAAGGAGATACTAGACAGATGAGCGAAACTGTACTCGAAGACAACTTTAGAGACCCACTATTGGGTCTCTATGTACTTATAACTGCTGGGCTGAGGGGAATTGATTTAGTCATCTTTGGTCAAATGCTCTACATTCTGTGAAATCCATGGAATCATTTGTTCAAGCCTGAACGAAATCCTCATACATTCTATTTGGGCTTCTCCCGAAATGTGCTAGACACCAGCTCAATTGGCAAAGTTTTTACTATTCTTCTACATCCTGCACTGAACAGTCCCTTCTCATTTTTATCAGTGTGTTTCCCTCCCCTGGACCTCCTGCTTCTCATACGCTAAGATGATCCAGGAACCCTATATAAAAACAGAGCAATTTGTTTTATGTTCCATTCCTTACACATCCCATTCCTTAACTATCATATTAACAGCTCACTGACTTCTTTAAGATATAGCAGAATGTTGGAAATTCATTAAATGTCTCAGCGAAATTCCGCTACTGCCTTTAAATGAAAGAAATGATCAACATTAATGACAGATTCTTGGATTTAAAACTAGGTTTTTTCTGTCTTTTTGTCTGATAAACATAAAATTTGCCATTGTAACCATTTGTAAGCATATATAGTTCAGTGGCATTAAACATTCACACTGTCATGCAACCATCACTACCATTCATCTCTCTAGAACTTTTTGTCTTCTCAAACTTAAAATTTGTACCCATTAAATACTAATTCCCCATTCTCCTGTCCCTCCAGCCCTGGAACCTGTATTTCACTGTCTCTACAAATGTTCCTAATCTAGTTACCTTGTATAAATGGAAACAGACATTATTTGTCTTTCTGTGTCTGGCTTCTATCACTTGGCAGAATGTTTCCAAAGTTCATTCATGTTGTAGCAGAATCTCATTCCTGTGTAAGGTTGTATAATATTCCATTCTGTGTGTACACCACATTTTGCTCATCTGTTCACCTGTTGATGGATCACTTGATGGGCTCTTTCTACATTCTGGTTATCGTGAAAAATACTGTAATGAACAATGCTCTCAAATGAAACATCAAACTATGAAAGTCAACTTTCTTTCACATCAAAGTATCATCACATACCACAGTGAAGAGTTTTCTCTGTAATGGTTGATATGATGTCACTTCTTTCAAAGTCCAAGAACAAGCCATGTTTGGTCTCTGTCCCATTCCACTACATGGTGCATCAAGAAGAATTCGGTCAAAAGATTCTGGTAAGAATGGAGGTTTTCCTATGAAGAGAATTATAAACATATTTGCTATCTGCCTACTGGTCTAGAATAGGAAGCTCCTGAAATAGAAATAATTATCAGCAATTTAAAATCATAATCTAGACTACAAAGAAAAACAATTTCTCCTTTCAAATAGCGGTAGAATTAATTCTAACATATGCAAAATAGTAAAAATGTGATTATTATAATTGAGGGTTATTCTGTTGACACAGTGCAAATCAAGGCCAATCAAAAAGACTCTGAATCCCCAATGTCAGGAGCCATAGTTTATCAGAGCTAGGATCTGGAATTACTTCTAGTCATCCTGAAGGCTGACAGTTCTCTGGGCAATCCCTACTGAAGATAGCCCAGAAAGGAAGAGTACCTGTTAGGTTCTAGTCAAATCTACTGGTTCTGAGGTTCCTCACTTTCCTTGCTTCTGGGCCATCGGCAAGGCTATGCTCTAGAGTAAGGCGGTATGTCCCTGCATCCAATCATGCACAGGTTTCCCTCTGCATTCACCTGAATAACTTTCTGCTAACTTCTGAGCTATTTTAAGTGTTACTAGAGAAAGTCATGAAACCAATCTGCTCATACATACATTTATGCTACCTTACTGCATGCAAGACACTGCTGCCGACTGCTTTCAGAGGAAGCCAGCTGACTGTCTACAGTAAACACAGCAATGTTCTGAATACCACACCAAGATAACCTGCTTTTCTCTAATTGCAAAACTGTCAGACAAGATTGCTCATCAATTTAACTCTTCTCCATTTAAACCCATCCTTGCCTTCTTACCTATGGTCTCAGAGTATCTTCTCAAAGTGAACAGTTATTTTTAAGGATTTTGATACATATTGAAAAAATGCTCTAGAAAGACTATACCAATTGACATTTCCATTATGATTATACTTATTCTCCCAAAATCTTCATCAAAGGATTATTTTTATTTTTGCTGTTGTTGTTTTATTGGCCATTTGTATTTTTCTTTATATGGTTACATTGTTTTGTCTTTTTCCTACTAACATTATTGTCTTTCTCTTTTTTAAAAAAGATTTTACTTATTTGTTTGAGAGAGAGAGCAAGCACACAAGCAGGAAGAAGGACAGAAGGAGAAGCAGACTTCCCACTGAGTAGGAACCCCCGTTGTGGGGCTTGATCCCAGGACCTGAGATCATGACCTGGGCCGAAGGCAGATGCTTAATCGACTGAGCCCCCCTGGCGCCCCTGTTATCTTTCTCTTATTGATAAGAAGAAATACAAGGGTAGTAGCTGTTTCCTGCCGTGATTAGCTCTCGGATGCCTCAGTGATCTCCTTTGCTTTTCCAACTCTTCAACATCTATTTAACAGACTCCTTACACTACTTATTTATACTACATTGTCTCTGTTGAAATACCTTATATAACTTTTTTTATTCCTGTGGCCAAATACACAGCTCTCAACAAGTTATTCATTTCCCTGACAAAGTAAAACAAAACCAAAAAAATCAACTCCTGAGACTAACAAATACAGACCATTAACAATGAACAATTTGGCCTCATCCAGATTCTTCTCCAACCACATTTCTCAGTACTCCCCCCAGATCTGTCACTGTTAAAAACAAACCCACATCACCACTTTGTTACCCAAAACTGTCATGAACTCTATTTCCATGCTTCTACTAATTCTATTCCCCTGTGAAGCCCCCTGCACTCATTTTCATTTGTCAAAATGCTCTCTACAGTCTCAAGGCCTAACAAATGCCACCTCCCCACCTAAATGCTTTTTCCATTGTCCCTCTAAGAAGTAATCCTTCCTTCTGAGTTCCTACTGCACTTGGTATCTTTTGGATATATGGTATTGTTTTTCAATTTATTTACTTGAGAGACAGTGAGACAGAGAGTATAAGCATGTGGCAGGGAGGGGCAGAGGGAGAGGGAGAGGGAGAGAGAATCTTGAGCAGACTTCATGCTGAGCATAAAGCCCAATGCAGGGCTCAATCTCCTGACCTTGAGATCATAAGCTGAGCGGAAACCAAGAGTCAGACGCTTAAATGAGTGCACCACCCAGGTGCCCCAGCTGTATAGTCATACGATCCCTGGTGATCATGTCTTACTTCCCCCCAGCACTAAAAATTCCTTAAAAATATCTCCAAACTCACAAGATACCTCTGTGTGAACTAGGATTAAGATATCTGCACCCTGGCTCTCTTCGGAGATGACATGATACTTTATATGGAAAATCCAAAAGACTCTACCCACAAACTACTAGACTCATACACCAATTTAGTAGTGTGGCAGGATACATAATCAATGCACAGAAATCAGTTGCTTTCTTATACACCAACAATGAAAATACAGAAAGGGAAATTCGAGAACTGATTCCATTTACTATAGCACCAAGAACCATAAGATACCTGGGAATAAACCTAACCAAAGAGGTAAAGGATCTGTACTCAAAGAACTATAGAACACTCATGAAAGAAACTGAGAAGACACAAAAAGATGGAAGGCCATTCCATGCTCATGGATGGAAAGAATAAACATTGTTAAAATGCCTATACTGCCTAGAGCAATCTATACTTCCAATGCCATTCCGATCAAAATTCCACTGGCACTTTTCAAAGAGCTAGAACAAACAATCTTAAAATTTGTATGGAACCAGAAGAGACCCCGAATTGATAAGAAAATGTTGAAAAAGAAAAACAAAGCTGGGGCATCACGTTGCCTGATTTCAAGCTTTACTACAAAGTTGTGATCACCAAGACAGCATGGTACTGGCACAAAAAAAGACACATAAACCAATGGAACAGAGTAGAGAGCCCAGATATGGACCCTCAACTTTATGGTCAAATAATCTTCGACAAAGCGGGAAAAAATATACAGTGAAAAAAAAAAACAGTCTCTTCGATAAATGGTGCTGGGAAAATTGGACAGCTATGTGTAGAATGAAACTCGACCACTCTCTTACACCATGCACAAAGATAAACTCAAAATGGACAAAAGACCTCAACGTGAGGCAGGAATCCATCAGAATCCTAGAGAAGAACATAGTAACCTCGTCAACATCGGCCACAGCAAATTCTTTCAAGATATGTCTCCAAAGGCAAAAGAAACAAAAGTGAAAATGAACTTTTGGGACTTGATAAAGATCAAAAGCTTCTGCACAGCAAAGGAAACAGTCAACAAAACAAAGAGGCAACCCACGGAATGGGAGAAGATATTCTCAAATGACACTATAGACAAAGGGCTGATAATCCAAGATCTATAAAGAACTCCTCAAACTCAACACACACAAAACAGATAATCACGTCAAAAAATGGGCAGACGATATGAACAGACACTTCTCCAAAGAAGACAAAGTGGCTAACAGACACATGAAAAAATGTTGACCATCACTAGCCATCAGGGAGATGCAAATCAAAACCACACTGATATACCACCTTACACCAGGCAGAATGGCCAAATTAACAAGACCGCAAACAACATGTGTTGGAGAGGATGTGGAGAAAGGGGAACCCTCTTACACTGTTGGTGGGAATGCAAGTTGGTGCAGCCACTTGGGAAAACAGTGTGGGGATTCCTTAAGAAATTAAAATAGCCACCCACTGGGTGGCTCAGTGGGTTAAGGCCTCTGCCTTTGGCTCAGGTCATGATCTCAGGGTTCTGGGATCGAGTCCCGCATCGGGCTCTCTGTTCAGCAGGGAGCCTGCTTCTCCGTCTCTCTGCCTTCCTCTCTGCCTACTTGTGATCTCTGTCAAATAAATAAATAAATCTAAAAAAAAAAAAAAAAAGAAATTAAAAATAGAGTTTCCCTATGACCCTACAATTGCACTATTGGGTATTTACCCCAAAGAGACAGATGTAGTGAAAAGAAGGGTCATCTGTACCCCAATTTTCATAGCAGCAAAGGCCTCAGTCACCAAATGGTAGAAAGAACAAAGGTGCCCTTCAACGGACAAATGGATAAGGAAGATATGGTCCATATATATAATGGAGTATTATGGCTCCATCAGAAATGATGAAGACCCAACCTTTGTATCAACATGGATGGGACTGGAAGAGATTATGCTGAGTGAAATAAGTCAAACAGAGAGAGTCAATTATCATATGGTTTCACTTATTTGTAGAGCATAAGAGATAACACAGAGGGCACGGGGAGATGGAAAGGAGAAGTGAGTTGGGGGAAAATGGAGGGGGAGACAAACCATGAAAGATTGTGGACTCTGAGAGACAAACTGAGGGTTGGAGGGGAGGGAGGTGGGAGGTTGGGTGAGCCTGGTGTGGATATTATGGAGGGCACGTATTGCATGGAGCACTGGGTGTGGTGCATAAACAATGAATTCTGGAATACTGAGAAGAATAAATAAATAAATAAATAAATAAATAAAAAGGTATCTGCGCCCTGGGATTAACATAGTCCTACACTATGATACACTGAGTACAAGTTGGAATTCAGCCCCTCAACATATACCTCAGCCAGGTCCCCTTGGACAGAGCATAACTATATGCCATGGCCCTGACAGGGGGAGGGACAATAATGTCTCATCACTGAACTTACTGTTCTTAGTAAGTTCAGTGATGAGACTTAAGACTTAAGACTTAAAAGGTGGTAGATAATTATACAGAAACTGAGAAAATCATAAAAATCGTCTAGACCTGTCTAAAATCAGACCAAGATCACCAAATGGCCCCCAAATGTACCTGGACCGAGAGAAATTTCTCTTGTTCAAAACTAGAAAGCCATGGAATGAATATTTAAGGCTTATACATAGTATAAGAGTACCCAGCTTTCTGTTTATGCAAATCTTTTTCTCTTAATATATAATCTTAACACTACATTTAGTGATTTTTTTTAAGATTTTATTTATTTATTTGACAGAGAGAGATCACAAGTAGGCAGAGAGGCAGGCAGAGAGAGAGGAAGGGAAGCAGGCTCCCCCCTGAGCAGAGAGCCCGATGTGGAACTCGATCCCAGGACCCTGAGATTATGACCCGAGCCGAAGGCAGCGGCCTAACCCACTGAGCCACCCAGGCGCCCC